TTATGCTACAAAAGAAAAGTTGATGAGATTTTGTAGATATAACTGAGTTGCCTTAAGTTCATCAAAGACTTGAACCTTTCCTGCAGGAAGAGATTCAAACAATAGAAGAGTCTATGGAGACAACCACAAGCAGGGAACTAAGAATAGCCATTAATGGCTGAATGCAGCCCCCAACCCTAGCCAGTCCTGTAGTTACAACTTCTATAAACAGCAGCTGTGAATTAGCTAAGTATCCTCCAAAGACCCACGTTACTAAAGGTGCCCTCCACAGAGCTGGGGCATCACCGTCAGATGCTGAGGCCTTACAACAGTGGAGCTACATGTAAAGTGAGGTCACGGGGATGTGGCCTCGCAGAGGGTTTCTGATATCTTCCTCTTTCCTTTTGCCTCCTGGCCACCATTAAGTGAGCAAGTTAGTCCATCATGGGTTCGCTGCTCTGCAAGCTGCCTTGCTACAGAACCAAAGTGAGCAGCCATTTGATCACAGACTTAGACCCCTGAAGCTGTGAACAAAAACAAATATACCTTAATGGATATGGAATCTCCACCTCTTTGCAGCATCTAACTATTGTTTATAAAGGACAATTGACCAAGAAGATATGAGATATGATAGAGACAGACAGACAGACAGACAGACATATAGGTAGATAAAAAGATAAAAGAATTTTATTCAGCTATCAGAAAAAAATGCATTAATGTCATTTGCAAGGAAATGAAAAGACCTGAAAAAAAGCATACTGAGTGAAATGAGCCATGCCTGGAAACACAAAGGGCATATGTTTTTCTTATATTAGGATCTTAGACCCTTAGACAACTTCCAGGTCAACATAAACAGAGACATATGGATATATAAATTACCAAGGTAACTAAAGTGTCGTATATGCAGGAATGATACTCTATGGTGTAAACCTTTTGGACAATTAATACAGTTAGACCAAATTAATATTTGGAGGCTGAAACATGTTGTAAATGATGGGGGTAATGGGATGCAGACTATGGATGAAAAACAGAACTGTGGCTGAATAGTCATAATACACAATGTACATCTGTGGAAAAGGAAGTGGGAAACTTGATGTGACTGGTGGGGAAAAGAATAGGTGAAAAGGGGAAAACTGATGGAAGGGGAAATTCTGATCAAAAGGCACCATGCACAGATATGGTTGTTTTTAATTTTAACTGCCTTGACAATGGCCTAATATGCAAAGAGCTCAAGAAAACTAAACTCAAACAACCAACAAAATAAAGTAAATAAATAAATACATACATATATACATTTAATTGCCTTACACAAAAAAAATGAAAATAGAAAACCCCAATCTCCTGATAGGGATTCATAAACTCAATCCTCTAACATGCTTTTCATGCTTTCAACAGAGAACCCCATTCAACTAGACCCAAACTTCTAGATGACAGATTAAATAAAAAGAAAGGTATTTCTTTAGGCCACTCATTTTGTGGCAATTTGTCATGCAGCAAAAGAAAACTCACACACTGGGAACATTGTCACATGCCAACCCTGTCCAAATGAGAGGTGACCTTGTTACAAATTCTTATTTGTTTCAGCAGAGGACAGTATGAGGGATGCCATCAGAATTCTGGGGAGACAAGCAACCAGATTCTAGAGAATGGCGATGACTTGAATGCCTCCCCACATTTCATATACTAGGGACCTAATCTCCATGTTCATATGTTAATCGTGTAGGGAGGCAGTGTCTTTGGAAGGTGTTTGGGTCATAAGGCTCTGCCCTCATGACTAGACATGTATCAATGGTCACTCATTAAGGGAGTGTTGAGGGCATGATTTTATTATAAAGGTGAATTCTCTCTGCCTAACTTGTGTCTCCCCATATGATGTCATCCACCACACCACCATGCAGCATGAAACACTTGCCAAATGCCACACAGAAGCCCAGGCCACACTCAGGCTTCTCCGCCTCCACAACAGCCCGTCAAGTAAACTTACATTCCTTCTAAATGACCAGGCTTAGGTATTTTGTTATAACAACAAGTGGACAAAAACACGGAAAGGTAAAGGAATTCTTAGTCTGAAACTATGTTTGGCCTCTGTCAAACTATGTTTGATCTCTGTCTTCAAACCACTGCCCTGAACAGAAGGTATTAGACATGCAAGATGTAAAGTGATAACAAACATGAGGAAGATGATGCTAACACTGATGATGGAAAGGGCTGCCTTTGTTATGTGGAATCCAAACAACACATAATACATAATTGTATAAAATTCTTTAAAAAAGGAATAAATCAGGACAAGCAAGTAAATGTGTTTTTTTTTTAAAAAAAGGCTGGGTATGTGGCTTAGTGACAGAGTGTTTGCCTTGCATGCATGAAGACCTGGGTTCGATTCCTCAGTACCACATACACAGAAAAAGCTGGAAGTGATGCTGTGGCTCAAGTGGTAGAGTGCTAGCCTTGAGCACAGCAAGGCTCAGTGCCCAGACCCTAAGTTCAAGCCCCACGACTGGCAAAAACAACCTCACGAGTGCCACCAGTAAAAGGCAATGGATTGGACTTCAGTCTCCTCCAGCCAGCAATATCTGTGATTCTACATTTGGATGTATCTTCAAATGGTTGGAATCCTTTTACCTAATAGATGCTAAGGATGTAAAGGTGAACTATAAAGGTGTTGGGCCAGAGACAAGTAGAACCCTGCACTCCTTGCAAGTTCCCTAAGGGGAAAATATAAATCAATGGGGAGAAAGTGCAGCCCTCCAGTGCTTTAGCTTGAAGCTCAGCATGGAATTCTACCAAGTACTATTGTATCTTATAGAAAACTGCTTTTCCTGTGCAACCATTTCCTCATGACCTAGTGCCATACTCTCTAAAGACCTACTCTTAACAGTTCATTCTCAACATCCAAACTCAAGTCTCACTCCCAATTTGAGGAGTGACTGTTCCTACCAATGAAAATCATTCAAAACTAAGAAGGGCTAAGAATTAAGAAACTTCTTTCCCATTGCAGGTTTTTCTCCACCCAGGAAGAGCCCATTTTCACTCTATTATCCAGGGCTTCTCTTGACTGTTCCAGGTCCTGACTTCCACATCATCATCTTTCATGCATGATTTACTCACTCCAGTAGCTTTCTGAGACAATGTAAAAAGAGGTTAGTTTTACATCTAGCCTGGCTGATACAGTATTAATCATTCTTCTTCCTTGATATTTGATTGGAAAGAATTCTAAGATGGAAATAGTTTTCTTGGAATTGGAAAACATTCTGTTGACTTCCTATATAGATCTTAAGAAGGCATTATCATCAACAGTCCATGGAACATGATACTTTAGAGTCATTTTTCTTATTTTTAGAAAATGGCGTATCTATAGGGTAGGTATTTCAAGGGGGGAGGGTTGGAAACTCTACTATTTCAGTTCTAAAACTTTTTCTCTTCTATTATTTCTATTGGTTCCTTAGTCTCTCCTCCCATATATGGGCTCAATGGAGCAAACTTATACCTGATATAACAGTGGCGGAAATATTATAAGCAGCGTGCTTGCATGCTGGCTGGCTTGAGCTCAGAGCACCAGCCTAAATGTCAGGGAATCTGTTTCAACCCAGAGTCAATTATGACTCTATCCAAAGCCAGTGGGAGAGCAATAGATCATCAGTACTCACACTTTCCTTCACAACACACAGCCCACCTAACTAATGCAGGCTAAATTTAACAGTGCAACTATTATTTATTCAACAAACCTTTGTGCCTATATAATGGAATTCCCCTTTGAATACTTCCTATTCAATTTCTGTTATAAGTAATCTTCATTTACTCTCTAGGAATTGTATTAGGTGTTGGATCACTTATATTAATCTAATTATCTTTTTTTTCTTATTTCCCACCTCTGTCTTTTTATACTGATATCTGGGACATTTCTGATATAATTTTAAATTTATGCTGTTTTATTTTTAATCCCTAACAACTCTTCTTACTCTCAGGTCTTTACTTTTTTTTTTTGTCGGTCATGGGGCCTGACTCTGGACCTAATCACTGTCCCTCAGCTCTTCACCTCAAGGTTAGAGCTCTACCACTTGAGCCAAGCACCACTTCCGGCTTTTTCTGATTATGTGGTGCTGAGGAATTGAACCCAGGGCCTTACGCATGCAAGGCAAGCACTCTACCACTGAGCCACCTTCCCAGCCAGGTCTTTACTTTTATTTAACTGCTTTGTCATGTCTGGGGAGAGCAATATTTCACCTATTTAATTATAGTGGTGTTCTAAGTTTTTGCTTCCTGTAATATTTCCATGCCCTTCATTTATCCTGCAGTTTATGTTTGCCTTTGAGTTCTATTAATTTGTCTTATATTCACATTGGAAGTATTTTCAATGTCTGATGGTCTTCAGCTACCCATAACTTAACCCAAGGCATTCAGAAGTTGGTAAGAAGCGCGGCATAAAAGGGCAGAGCTCGCCAGTGGAGGAGTGACAAGAATCTCAAAAGCCTTTTCTTTTATAGATTTTCTTCATTGTGCTTTGTACTGAAGGTGGTTTCTCTCTCCAAACTTCATCAGATTCTGTCTATATACTCTGTCTACACTTTGATGAGAGGAACCATCTAATTCCATGCAGGGCCAGACTCAAGGCAGCTGCTATTTTATATAAACCATAAGAAAAATGTATTTTCCAAATGCTTCTTCCATGGCTGTCCATTTCAATGCAGAACAGCATGAGGAGATTCAGATTCTCTCCCACTATGCTGCTCTTTCACTACCTTCAGAATTCTGGTCCTTTTGGACTGTTCCCTACAAGATAAAGGCATTCAGATGGCTGAGTCTCTACCACAAAGGTACAACAGTCTTCTGCCTATCATATCTCCTTATCCTCACTGGACCCTTCAAAATATCTTCAAAATGTATTTAAATTGTCAGTAACTCCATTTTCAGAGAAGCAACCAGGTACTGAGGTGCCATGTGGGTCTGACAACCCATGAATTCACCACAGTAGATCAATCCTTGCCTTACCACATAGAATTTACTTTTATTCTGCCAAGAGAATGTGGTTCCCATGGGAACAGGGAGCCAGCCTTCCATATGGAACCTTGGACAGGATAGTGGGCACACCAGAGACACTAGAGATGCTGCCTTTCCTGCTCATCTGTCTCCTGCCAGTCACTGTGGGAAAGAGCTGTCTCCGCTGCTGGCCAGAGCTGCCTTCCTTGCTGGACTATGACCTACAGGTTCTCTGGGGCAGCCCTGGGCCTCCCGCAGAGCTCTCCCAAAGCCTCCACTCCTTCTTCATGGAGGACAACCCCATGCTCAAATTCTGGTATCTTGGTGAGCCACGGCCAGGAGAACAAGGGCCATTCTTTTGCCTGGCCTAGATCTTACTCTCCTGACTGACCTCTCTCTAACTATGACCCATTCTTAGATCAGGACCAACTGGAAGAAGAAACAGCCGTATTCTTCAAACAAATAGACCAAACCATTAAGAAGCTACGGGATGGTGAGGAAGCCAAGTGTCCCATGGGCCCTAGGGCTGGGTGGAAAAGGCCCAGCCCTCCAAGGCCTTCTCCAGGGCAGCTGTGACCATAATGCTGAGACGAGGAGAGCTAAGAAATGGGCACTGTGTGCTCCATGGAATTTCTATTTGGAAACATGGATTTGCAATCTCAAGCAAGTTATAAAATTGAGCATCCTTTTTCTTGTTGTACCCAGATAAAGTGTCACTTCTGGAAGAGATTAATTCACAAAAGAATCTCTTTGCCGAGAGACTAAATGAGAGATCTGATGAACTGAGGGAAAAGGGTAAGAGATGGGGCTGCCCTGATCCACCACTCAAACTTTTACCCTCCAGACCCAGAGACCAAACCTAGGCTCTCCCCACACATCCCTGCCCTGCCCATAGGTTAGATGCCTGCCATATCTTCCCAACCCCATGACCTGCCCATACTCCCATCCTCTCCTGGCTCTTTCTGCCTCCCTAGCACCTCAGTTTCTCCACTCTCCACCTTCTTGGCAGCCTGCAATGAGTCTTGTGGTAAGTATGTCCAGGGACTGGGCTCAAGAGAGGGGTGAGACCTCCCCTATTCCTGACCCCTCTGAGGTCCTGGCCCATCCCTCTCACAGATATCCAGTCCACAATGGAAGTCACGGAGTGTGCCAACTGTGGGATTTACCACCTGTCCTGCAATGATCCTTCCTTCTGCCCAGGTCAGTGACCTTCCATTTTGTGTGGCTTTCTCCTTCAGACCCCCACCCCTGGAGCCCATCTTTCTTCTCTATCCAACCCAGGACTTTCTCAGCTGTTCTTCCTCTCCCTTGTAAAGGAAAGTGGCACCTCTGGAATTTCTTGATATCTTCATGTCCAGGTCCAAGGCCTTAGAATCATCTGCTTCTGGATCCTCACAGTCAACATGTCTGGAACATACCTTGTCCTGTCTTTTCTGTTCCCAAGCCTGCCCTGCCTGCTCTGCTCAAGCCTTCCACCACTTAATCCTCTACTTTATTCCCTCCATCTTAGCATGAAGAGCCTGTATGTAGCTTTACTAAATGACTCTTAAATGTGTTCCTGTCTTTTCTAACTAACCTCTACCTCTACCTCTACCTCTACCTCTACCTCTACCTCTACCTCTGCTCAGGCTTCTTTATTTCTTACCTGAGTTACAACCTTTCCTTACTAGCCTCCCTGTCCTTCCTGGCTACACCTCATGCTGCTACCAAAAACCTCTTTCTCAAGGAGAAAAGTCTAACCATGATTTTCCCAGACCATAGCTTCTAGTGGCTCCTTTGCCTGACCTCCCAACCCCTGGCTCCCCTTTTCCCTCCCCAGCTATGATGATGCAGAACTACAAGTGGACTCTGATCCTTGCAGTCTGTACTGGATTCATGCTGGCTATCGCTCTAACTGGGTGAGTGCTGTCTCCTCTCCCCAACATTCCCAAGGAAACACATATGTTACCTTGACTGACCCTAACTCCACTTGGTCTCCAGATGTTTCTTGTTATGGTGCAAGAAGAAGGAAGAGGAGCCAGTAAATGAGGTACTAAAAGAGCTTAGGCCTTTCAGGAAAGAAAATATGGGTGCTTGAGGATCTCAAGGCCTGAAGGCACCTCTCTGCCACTGAAGATAAACACCCAGAATAGAGAGAGATCTCAGGCAACAAGTAAGGGGTTACATATCAGCCCTGCATATCAGCAGATATTCCCAGGGTGGGAATCCAGGACACAGGAGAGCCAAGTTCCAGTCCCCTCTTTATTGCTAAAGTCCCAAAGTCTACCTTCCCTTACTGCGCTGCCAGAACTATAGCTGCTTTGTTCTTGCTGTTGGGTAACTTTGGTCAGGGGAAACTCCCAGAAGGAGATCAAAGCAATCAGAGTTGGGTAGAAACTCTCTCTGCTTCTTTTTTCTTCTCAGGAACCAGATGTGACTCCCGAAAATGAAATAAAGAAAGATCAAGACTCAAGCTACTACTCTCTGAAAACGAACTCATCTTTGGACATGGAACCACTCTCTCCTCAATGACTTCCATCCCAGGGCCGTGAGCTCTCTGAGGTTCTTAGGCCCTATTCACACATATTTACTTTTGCAAATAAGCACTCCATTAAAATATTTCTTCCTATCCTAATTGTCCTTTTCGCTTTCGGCTGGGACCAGCACTGAGACAACGTCATGGTCTGGATATGTGCTGTATGAAGCATCCTCAGAGAGACTTCTGTGTTGAAGACTTGGTCCCCAGCTGCTGGATCCAAGCCGTGCCCCACTGCATTCTACCAACAGGCCTGCCTTACCACTGGCCCAGAGAAAACAGAGCCATTCACCCATGAACTGAAGCCTCAAACTCGAACCAAAATAATTCTTTCCTCCCTTCTACACTGTTTTCTCAAGTATTTGTCACAGCAATGAAAAGTTACCTAATACAGATGAGATCTCCCTGACCTCAACCCTCTATCATTCTCTTGTCTTCTCTTCCTTCCTCATAACTTGTCACTGTCCAAACCAGAAATACCCTCTTCTTCCCTGGTCCCCATAGGCTCATGGAAGCCTCACCTAATTCTAACACCAGAAAGAAGGCAGGGTAACCTGGGAGCCTCGGAGGGACCCTGTCTCTGGGAATAGGGCAGATAGACAGGAGGCCAGCTTAAGGGACAGGCAGGTGGACATCAGAAATCAGGTTTCAAGGCCACTGCTAGCAAAGCCACCAAGTCCTGGCCAGGATGTCACCAATGTTTTCCTCATACTATCAGAAAATTATTTCCCTGGCCACTTTTCAGGACTGGATAAATTATGTTTTAATGGGTAACAGCTTCTTTAATTTCATATTAATACTCCAATTAAAAACACTGACAAACTACCTCACAATAAATGGAAAAGATCAGAAGGGTTCTCTGAAGGAAAAAGACAAAACCAAACATGCAAAATATCCTCCCCCAAAGTTGATCTTTCTCCTTTTATAATCTAAATGTGTAAAGTTTTATGAAAAATTGATCATTATACACAATACACATCTTCTAGAGCATTTCTAAAGGAAATTACAGTTTTTGATCTTCAAGAATAAGACTAAGATAGCGAAGGGGTGGGAACAGTGAAATCTGAGCAGCAGTATCTTTCTACACACAGCAAGCTGGCAGGTCATCAGTCAGTTGGTGGTTATAGCTCAGTACATGATTTGCAAGGCAACTAAGCAACCAGAACACATTCATTTCCCCTTCCTAGAAGTAACAATTCTTTTAAAAGCTATGAAATATCCATAAAAGAATGTTGATTTGGGTAGAGTTTTTCCTTCCAAAGGGAGCAAATAATAAATGGGGGCGAGAGCCTTCCATCCCCAAATTTATATGCACAAATGAAATTAGACTGTAAGCATAAATGGCTACTCAGTCAAAGAGTTGATGCAGTTGCTATTCTACCTAGATAGTTTCAAAACATGACCCAGAAAATCAAATACATACGCTATGACTCAAATAGGAAGCACTTCATTATTGTTCAAAGACCAGGTTTAATTAACTGCCAGGGTAACATTTGGGGGGGGAGAGGGTCCAGTTGTGGGGCCTGAACTCTGGGCCTGGGCGCTGTCCCTCAGCTCTTCAGCTCAAGGCTAGCACTCTACCACTTGAGCCACAGCACCACTTCCGGTTTTTTTCTTTTCGCTTATGTGGTGCTGAGGAATCGAACCCAGGGCCTCAGGCATACAAGGCAAGCGCTCTACCACTGAGCCACCTTCCCCAGGGTAACATTTTTAAGGTGGGGTACTGTACTTTATTGCACCTGAGATGGATGATTAAATGCTTTGGGAAATTCATAACGAACAGGTGCCCAACTGACTCAGGAAAGGAAAATGAGGACAGATCCTCAACTACAGCAACTACAACCCCTGATTTTTTGTTTTATTTAGTTTTGTTAGCCCTGGGGCTTGAACTCAGGGCCTCGGCACTGTCCCTAAGCCTCTTTGTGCTCAAGGCTTCTGCTCTACCACTTGAGCCACAGTGACACTCTGGCTTTTTCTAAGTAGCTTATTGGAGGTAAAAGTTTCATAGATCTTCCTGCCCAGTCTGGATTCAACTGTGCACCTCAGATCTCAGTCTCCTAACTTCTGAGTAGCTAGGATTACAGTCATGAGCCACTGGTACCCAGCTACAACCCCTGCTTTGGGATGGGACAGAAATTCTACACAACAAGCTTTTCCCTAGGAAAGGGCACCAGGCCCAACCTATTGCTTGCAGTCCAATGAGGCATGGAGCTAGGGAAAGAGAATTTGTCAAGTCTTTTCTGCTTATTTGGATCATAGGCGTGTTGGTGTTCTTTCTGTGTTGTTTCCTGGAATCCACCTCAGCTACAATATAGAAGCATTCTGACCTGAATCCCCTCACCCACTTCCTACAGCCCCATGTTATTCCATTCTGAGACCTGAAGACAGCCAGTCACACATGAAGTACTAACTCTAACCAGGCAGAAATCTCTGACCCCTGTAGGGCACCAAGCTAGCACATGGGCAAATGGATACGGCAGAGAGGAGTCACACCTCCCTCCAACTCTTGGCTGTGTGTTAGCCTGGATTACTAAACTCCAATGGGCTTCTTAACCAAGCTTCTGCCTGCTTCTTGAAGGAAGCCACCCCTCCTCCCACCCTGGTCCTCTCCCTGCCTGGAGTTCCCAAAAAGACAAGTACGACTTGTGTCTCACAGAATGACATTCTACTCCTGGTCAAGAAACCTTCAAGGTTTCTGGTGATGACATCAGAAATGTCATTGTGACATATTAATGGAATCTCATGGTGCTGAAAGGTAGAAGCTTTGGAATATGAATAAAATTAGATTAGGTCATCAAGTTGAGCCCCTTTATTATATCCTGGTGACTTGCTTTATAAGAAAGAAAGACCAGAACACACACACATCACACATCACACAGATGAACTATCTGTCTTTCACCATATAATTCCTTGGACTACCTTGGATGAAAGTCTATCATCAGATGGATTCCTGGGCCTTGAACCTCCAGGATCGAGCCAAAGTAAACCTCTTTTCCTAAACTACCTACTCTGTGATAACTTGTAATTAGCAACAGAAAATCAGCCAGACACATGTTTGTAATCCTAGCTACTCTAGAGGCTGCAAGCTAGAGGATCTGTTCACCATGCCAGCTAAGATAGAAGAGTCCATGAGATTCCATCTCCAGTTAAACAGCAAAAATCCAGGCTGAAGAGTGGTTCAAGTAGTAGAACATCAGCCATGCGCATAAAAGCTGAGTAAGAGAGCAAAACCCTGAATTTAAACCCCAGTATTAGAGCACATGTATACACACACACACACACACACACACACACACACACACACACACAAGTCCACATGCCATGGCATTGAGGTCTAGAGGCTGACTTGAGTACAGCTTAATCTGCAGAGCATCAGACTTAGAAAGCACAGGCCCTGAGTTCAAATCCAGTACCACCAAAACCAAAAATAATGAGAGCGCTCAGTGATTACTGAACTCCTAACTTTGCAGGCCCCTAAAGTAGTCCCTTGAACAAGCATATCAATGTATTGTGTACCCAAAAGACCAGTTCCTACTCATTGTGTCACCTCCTAGTGATGTGACCACGCTTTCTTCATCAAATCTATACACAAAAACTTGGATATTTTTCTATATTTTCATGTGCACATAAAACCTTGGTAAGTGTGTTATGCCTTTTTCTTGTTAACATCCTTTGCTATGAGGTGTCATCCATGGCTTTTAAAAGGAATGAACATGGATACCATGCATTTCCTCTCACACAAAGGGAAGAGAAGAAGAGCATGGGGGCGCCAGAGGCAAGACAGTGCAGAGCTGTGGGTCAATGTTGGGAATTTGGGAGTTTTGTGGGAGATAAACCCTGAAGGTTTGCAAACAGAAAAACAATAAGATATGATTTGTGCCTTAAATACCAACGATAGACACAGAAATAGGAAGATAAGTAAGTATGGGGAAGATGAACATGCTAGAGCTCCCTGAATCTGAGTGAGCACCTTCCTTTCTCTGAGCTGTTTAATGCACTGCACAGAAGACACTGTGGCCCTGGGAGGCTCCGGCGCTGTGTGAGTCACTCTCACCTCTCAGGAATCTAACAAGCAAGTGACTCAGGATTCAGGCTGGAACTGAAAACCCTCATGTGCTGACTTCCTCCGGGCTTAAGGCTCAATGGATCCACATGGCTGCAGAGAATTAGAAATATAAGTGTGCTCATCAAGAAACAATTCCTAAAAGGTCTGGTTTCCAGTGGAGGATTGAGGGCATTTATCTATTTCGTTTCCTCCCGAGACTTCATTAAAACTATACTAAAAGATTTTTTAAATCATAAACTCAGAAAGATATGAAGAACGGGGGAAAGACCGCAGCAATTAAACTTTGGTAGCTTGGAGGTGAGTGAATTAATAAGCCTGAAATGCAAATCCGAAGCCAGCAATGAGCCAGGCTCCAGTGGCTCACACCTACCTACACACTCCTACCTACCTACACAGGAGGCTAGCCAGCCCAAGCAGAAAAATCCTAGATACTCTTAGCTCCAATTCTCACAGAACACCAGAACTGGAAGAATGGTTCAAATGGGAGAGCACCAGCTATGAGCAAAATATCTGAGTAAGAAACTTTGAGTTGAAGCCCCAGTATGGATACACACACACACACACATGCTATCAATGGAAAAAAGACCTATCCAACCTAGACTCTGGCATCCTAAATGCCATCATAGTGAAATAGCCGTCAAGTGCCCTCTGCAAGCAGTGAGAACAGACAACAGTGGAGAGAAAATAGTGGTTCCCACAGTGGCCTCAATGGCTGACAAGCATTCAACCCACTATCATTACCACCATGCCTGGGTAGCATGAACAATAGAACTGAAGGACTTCTCCTCCCATCCTCACCTCTACCACTGATCAAATATCCCAGGTGCTGGCACCCCTGGAGCTCTCTGCACCACAGGGGTGAGGCAGAAGCTAAAGGACAGGGTGCCCTTCAAGGACAGGGTGCTTGAGACTGTAAATGAAGAGCCAAACAGGTGGTTTCTGGGTACTGTGCAGCTGGAATGGGATGATAGGGTGTGTGTGTGTGTGTGTGTGTGTGTGTGTGTGTGTGTGTGTGTGTGTGTGTGTGTTGTGGGGCTTGAACTCAGAGCCTTGAGCACTGTCCCTGAGCTTTTTTCCTTAAGGCTAGTTCTCTACCACTTTGAGCCACAGCGCAATTCCAGTTTTCAGGTAGTTAATTGGAGATAAGGGTCTCATGGACTTTCCTGCCCCAGCTGGCTTCCAACCGCAATCCTCAAATCTTAGACTTCTGAGTAGCTATAGTTACAGGTATGAGCCACTGGCACCCATCCAGCTGGGATGATTTATTGGAGGGTCTAACTCCCCCTTGCCCACACTGCTGTCAGTGGGTCTCTGACCTTTGTACTGACCATCTCTCTATTTTCTGTACTCTGTTTTGCTATGTGGGGCACTGCTGACCCTGAAAGGCTCCACCCCTTTCCAGAACAGCTAATTTAATTCCTAGAGATTGCCAACAATTGTCTACCTTGCCTTGATCTTCAGATATCAGCCCCCTGAGTAGCTAGGATTACTAGTGTGAGCACCATCACCCAGCTAGAATGTACCTTCAGCACAAGCCAACAAGCCTGATCCCACACCTCCAACTACCTTTCAGCTGAGCTCTCATGCTCCTACTGAATACTCAGTGTGATCACTCAGGGCCAGGCCCCAATGTGTGGCCAGCCCCAAGCCACAGAGATGCTGGAAGTGTTTAAATCACTTGTTCCTAATTTGCTTTCAACGTCACATTTGTTCCTGCTAGGACAAATCACAGTTGAGCTTGGTCCAATCTTCCCTTACTTCCTCTCCATCCTGGCCTTTCTTGGTGCTTCCCCATGGGGTTCATCTTGGCATGCATACCTCCTATTTTCACCATCATTTGAAAAACAAATCCTTCATTATGATGTCATGTCTATGTCTGTATGTCTCACTACATCTGATTAAAAACAAGTCTTACGTGCCTCCAGAGCTCTTGGCACCATGAATATAGTGGTTTGGTGCCAGATGGAGATGATATGTCTCTAGACTGTACTTGGCTCACTAACTGGACCCAGTAGGCAGCAGTTACTGCCTAGGATGGCTCCATGCCTTCTGGATCACCTGCACCTGCACAGCTGCTTCACAGCACTGTCTGCATATGTTGCCAATCTCCCCATTTGCTCTGTCTTCTGCCCACACCTGGTGCTTCTGCAATTGCCCCACCAGCACCACCACCATGATGTCACATATCTTAGAGTCTGTGAATAAAATGATTGCATACATCTCCTCACCTGTTGGCTCTACAATCCTGAAAATAAGAACAATATTTAAAGACAATCCCCGCCCCCCACCATACAGGAACTAAAAGACTCTTCTCTGTCCAGCCTAAGAGGAAGACATAAAGATGCTAGCACCTAGGACTGAGTTCCATAGCAAAGCCTCACCCCAGCCCTCAGATTCCTATCTCCTGTTTATGTTCCCACATTTTATCATAAACAGATGGTCGTGTGTGCTAAAGAAAACCTTTCCAAAGAAAAGAAAGGAGCTGGGCACTAGTGGCTCATGCCTATAATCCTAGCTACTCAGGAGATTGACATCTGAGGATCAAGCTTCAGTGCCAGCCCAGGCAAGAAAGTCCAAGCCTAACCACTAAAAAGCCAGAAGCCAAGCTGTGGCTCAAGAGGTAGAGTATCAAAAAAAGAGCAAAAAAGCTAAGGGCCATTGCCCAGACCTTAAGTACTGGCACAAAAAGAAAGAAGGAGGAGGAAAGGGAGGGAACAGAGGAAGGAAAAGGAGGAGGAGGGGGAGGAGGAGGAGGAGAGGGAGGAGGAGGAAGGGAAGGGGGAAAGAAAGAAGAGGAGAAAAAGGAGAAGGAGGAGGAGGAAGAGGAGAAGGAGGAGAAGGAGGAGGAAGGGGAGGAAGAGGAGGAAGAGGGAGGACTTGTGGCTAATACAGCCCATTATACTCAATGTACATATGTGAAAATGGAAGCCGGTAACTTGAAGGGATGGATGAAGTTGAGAAAAATTGGAGAAAAGGAGGGAAGAGGATATTGATTGAGATGTATTGTGCTCATTAATTGACATGTTCAGTAGTTGAAACCCTTTATACTACTACATAAATAAGAAAAATAACTTAATTTTAAAATGCTATAATTAAAATCTGCATTTATAAAACAAGAATAGGATGCTATAAAAGAGGAAATTTTAGTTAACAAAAAAATAACTTTTAGGAAACTAAACACATAGCAGCGAAAGCAAAAGAAAAATAAAAGTTTTGAAATCTCCAAGACTATAAAGACAAGCATTGTAAACAGGAAAGAAACTAGTGAATTAATGGCCACTCAACATGTAAATAAGAATTGCTGACAGCAAAGAGAAAATGGAAAGAATACTGATGCAGCTGGGTGCAGTAGTTCATGCCTGTCATCCTAGCCACATGAGGGAAAGATTGAGAGAACTGCAATTTGAAGTGATCCTAGGCAAAAATAACACGTGACCTCCAACTCAACCAATAAAATGCTAGATACAAAAAAAATGGATGGGAAGAGATGGGAAGGGGCAACAAAGGAGGAGACAATAATGCTTGACAAGAAATGTACTCATTACCTTGACCATGTAACTGTAACCCCTCTGTACAGTATTTTCACATTAAAAAAAACTGGATACAATGGTTCATACCTTTCATCCTAGCTATGTGGGAAGCGTAAATGGGAGTATCATACTCAAGGTTGGCCTGGGAATAAATGTGAGACTATTTCCCCAAAAAATGTGCTGGGGGCATGACTCAAATGGTAGAGTACCTGCTTCACAAGCATGAGGGCCTGAGTCCAAACTCATTACTGTGACGATGATGATGATGATTGATTGATTGATTGATTGATTGATTGAATTAACCAGGATACTCAGAAATGAGTTCATAAATTTTTACATTAAAAGAGCACCTATAGGCTCAATACAAAAGGAGAAAACATACTTCACCAAGTCACCTTTCATTGAATTATAGTTTCTTCTTTTTATTGTTTTTGTTTTTGTTTGTCATAGGGCTTGAACTCAAGGCCTGGGTGCTCAAAGATGATACTCTACTACTTTGAGCTACAGCACCACTTCCAGTTTTCTGGTGATTAATTAAAGATATAGTCTCATGGACTTTGCTACCCAGGCTGGCTTTGAACCACGATTCTCAGTTGTCAGCCTCCTGAATAGTTATGATTACAGACGTGTAAGCCACCAATGCTGTGCTGAATTTCAGTTTCTAAGAACAGAAAAAAAAAAGAAGTGAAAACTACCAAATGATAAAACCAGCTCATACAAAGAATCACCAATGAAATATGTGGGCCCTTGGAGGTCTGTGCCAATCTTCAAACCACAACAGATGGCAAAGCGTCAAAGGGGCAAATGTTTGAGTGTCTAAAGAGTAGGGAAAGCACACACTGATTATCCTCACCTGAGGTTGGACCCAACAGGATGGCCTGTCCACCAAGTCTTCTCCAGGCAAGTTGTTAATGCTAAGAAATAATTACAGAGAAAGATACCCAAGTCTCTGAGCAATGGTCTGAGCACATTTTCATTGCTAAGATTGAAAGTGTATGTTTCCAGTAAAGCTAGGTCACCAACTTCACAGTAAACAAGAGCCAATCCTAAGTATGCCCAGGTGTGATGGATATCATCAAGCACTTCCTTTCTTCAAAGCTCAGGAGATGGACCTCTGTGGCCATTTCCATCACCAGCCTCCACCTTCATTATGGTTAGCAACATAAGGCTGCAGCAGCGAACAGCCCTACAGGGGGCAGTAGGGAGGATGTCTCTGTCTAGGGTGGAGGACTTCAGAATTAGCCATGACTGTGTAAACCCCTCTCCACCCCACCCCACACACCCCCAGTCCACCAAGTCAGAAAACCCACCACTAGCCCAGGAGAACAGTCAGAAAGTTCGTGGGTAGATCAGGGTGGATAGATCGAGGAAAAGACTAGATTTTGTAGTTTTCAAGTCAATTACTAAGTCTATTTGAAAGCCTAGCTTTCATCTGATTAATTATCAAAAAGGAAAAAGAAGACAATAGTCCACTTAAATTTTGTTTAAAGATGTGATCTGGCCTGAAATTGAATGAGGCTATTTTCTGAGGCACATTTAAAGGTATAATTTTCATTAAAAAGATGTTTGTTGAATTGTAATAAATCATGTGCAACTTGGTAAGGGGGCATTGACAAATCAAATCTCCCTGTGTTCTAGAAAGCCTGGCAGAGGGTGGTTTTCTGGTTCTGTAATGAGACAGACCTTTACAGTAAACAGCATGGCCTCTAGTCAGGAAAGCTGATCAAGAGAGATAAATGTTTGTTAGTCCTATAATTGAAAAGAACAATATACATTCTATCTTCATTTGAGGAAGATAATCCTGTTCTGGGATTAGGTACAGCAGAACTCCTTTTTTTCTTATTCACTCAAGCAGCTTGCTGGGCCTCCAAGCAGAGCAGGATAGGCCAGGTAAAGACTCAGAGATAGGCACTCACCCAGGACCAAAGCTAAGGATTGCTGTGCTCCTGTGACACCCCACTCTGTGACTCTTGCCTGTTGTTCTGGTTGCCTCTCATTTCTTTCTTTGTCATCTGTGCTCACTTTCAGGAAAGTACATCAGTCAGCTATTTGTGTGTAACAAATAATTCCAAAGATTTATCTCTTAACAATCAGTTCTGACTGTTCCCATGGGTGCTGGCTATTTGGGAGCATCAGGGATCACTGGTGGCCTGGCATCAGTACATGATCCACGTGAGTTCCACCTCTCCCTCTTCCAGGAAGGGAGAGCCAGCTACCAATGGAAAGACAAGAGGTGGAGTGAAAGTGGCAGGAAGCAAACCCAGCCCCACAGACCCATCCCAAGCCTCTGTTCCACTTCGCTCTCAGTGTTTCAGCCAATACAAGTCACACGACAAATCACAGTCAACACAATTCACACAACCAAGGTCAGCATACATTCTTGGACCTGGAGCAGGAGAGGAAAGGGAGTAAAGATTTTCCAAATAACTTGAGCTGATCTAATCTGCCATTCCCCTTTGCACATGTTAAATGTATGAAAGCATTTCCAAAGACGTCAATCACAGCCTCCTTCCTGAGCCCAGAAGGTTATGACCATATCAGACCCACAGGTCTCCTTTTGGTGTAGAGAAATAAGAAATAATCCTGGGAGATTTGCCTAAGACTGGTTTTTATTTTTTTCAACATAGCCAATAAAATTTATGTTTCTTGCTGAAAAAAAAGAACAATTAATCCTTAGAAACATTGCCTTTTATTAAGCCCTGGATCTGCTCCTGGGATCAGCTCCCTGTCTATCATCTGTGACGGACATCACTTTGATCCAATGGGAAGGTTGTGCCTTCCGGTCATTCTCTGTGGTCTTTTGGGATGGGGCCCTTAGAAAACAGAATATACCCTCTGACAGTCCTGTACAGTTTTCACAGCCTCTCCTGCCTGGGGAAAACTGGGAGTTCAGAAGTCTTTGTATCCTGAAGAGTCTTGTTTTCTTCTCAGCCAGGCCCCAAACACTAATGCCAACATAACTCTTCCAAACTCAAGGGTTGTCCATGTACTTGATTCTGGCTACCTCCCTCTGCCAACCTCCACGCCCAGAGTCTTTCAATCATTTAGGAATGCCTCTGGTTCTCTACACTTAATCACACCTGCTTTAGAAGCACGTGACTGTATTTTTAACATTTTCCATTAGCATCCATTGCTGTACAAAAGGGGTTGCACTGTGACATTTCCACACATTCATACAATGTGTCCCAATCAACCTTACCCCTTCTATCAATTCTTCCCTCTCCTGCTCCCTCTTCCCAGCCAATTTGGAGAAGTTTCATTGTTCTACTTGCATACAGGCAACTACACTACTCAACCATGTTCATTCTCTTTCACCCCCTCTCCTAACCCTCCTCCTACCAGTGACACCCACCACCTCTCAGTGGAGCCTGCCCCACTTTTCTTTCATTCATTCTGTCATTTTGTATAGTGTGTTTGAAATGTACCAAAAGGGACAGTTTCTGTGGTGCATATGCTATAGTTTGCTCAGAGCTCCACCTCCATTGAGCAGCTGCGTTCATTGAAACTGTGTGCCTACTTCATACATCATTGCATTGTATTTATCCTCCATCTTTCTTTTCATTCTCCCTTCCCCCATAAACCTAAACAGATCCATAGTTAGAATCCTGTTCTGTGTTCATACACATAAATTTATGTATGTAGGCATGTATATGTGTATATTTATGAATATGTATGTGTTTTTAGGTCTAGCTTCCACATAAGAGCAGAATATAGGATATTTGACTACGGGGCTTGGCGTATCCCACTCAACATGACAGCCTCTAATTCCATCATCTTTTTCCTGAAGATCACATGATTTCATTTTTCTTTATGGCTTTAATATTTCATGGCATATGTACAGCATATTCTCCATCCATT